ATCTGAAAGTGAACCAAGGCTGGCTATTTCTTTGAAGAAGATATTTTGAAGCTATTCAGAGGGAACACATTAAACCAAAAAAAAAAAAAAAAAACCAAACCTGTTGCCGTCAAATTGATTCCAACTCATAGCAACCCTATAGGACAGAGTAGAACTGCCCCATACAGTTTCCAAGGAGTGCCTACTATATTCAAACTGCCGACCTTTTGGTTAGCAGCCGTAGCTCTTAACCACTACACAGCCAGGGTTTCTGGGAACACATTAAGTTTAACTAAATTATTTCAAGATGAACAAAACCACAACATATCAAAATTTATGGGCTACAACAAAAGCCAAACTGAGAGGGAAATTTATAGATGTAAATTTCTAGATTTAAAAAGAATAATGAAGTTTAGTTGAGGCATAAATTGTAGTGCTGTTGGTCATGAGTTCAATGTTAATGAATTAACAACTGTGATGGTTAATTTTATGTGACAGCTTGGCTGAGCTATGATTCCCAGTGGTTTGGCTAAATACTAGACTAGTTACTGTTCCATAATGTAATGTAATGTAATATAGTGTAGTGCAATGTACTGTAATATAATGACCTTCTATAATGTAATCAATCAGTTGAAAGGGGGATTTCCTTAGGGTGTGGTCTGCCTGCAGCCTATAAATACATATTTTGGTAGGGAAAAAAAAAGAATAATTATGTCAAATCAGTAACTTAACCTTCTACCTTAAGAAACTAGAAAAAGAAAAGCAAACTAAATGCAAAGCAAGCAGAATGAAGGAAATAATAATGATAGAGTGAAAATAAATGAAATAGAGACTAGAAAAATAGAGAAAATCAAAGAAACAAAAAGGTGATGTTTTGAAAAGGTAAGCAAAATGACAAATCTTTAGTTAGACTAAACACTTCCTAACTCATTCTATGAGGCTAGCATTACCTGATACCAAAATCAGACAGAGAAATCACAAGGAAAGAAAACTACTGATTAACATTTCTTATGAATATAGATGCAAAAAATCTTCAACAACATTTTAGCGAACCGAATCCAAAAAAATAAAAACCAAACCCACTGCCATCGAGTGGATTCCGACTCACAGCAACCCTATACCAGTAGCATATAAAAAGGATTATACACCATGACCAAGTGGGATTTCTCCCAGGAATGCAAATTTGGTTCAACATATAAAAACCAATCAAGGTAATATTATTAGTAGAATAAAGGGCAAAAACCACACAATCATCTCAACAGATATAGAAAAGCATTTAACAAAATCAAACACCTTTTCATAATAAAAATACTCAACAAACTAGGATTAGAGGGAATTTCCTGATAAAGGGCATTAACAAAACAGCCAAAGTTAATATCATACTTAATCACAAAACACTGAAAGCTTTCTCCCTAAAATCAGGAAGAAGACAAGGATGTCTACTCTTGCCACTTCTATCCAATATCGTACTGAAGGTTCTACCAAGAGCAACTCGGCAAGAAAAAGAACTAAAAGGAATCCAGATTGCAAAGGTAATCATATTTGCAGATGACATGATCTTGTAAGTAGAAAACCCTTAAGAATCCACCAAATAAAATATTAGGGCTAATAAATGAATTCAGTAAAGTTGCCGTGTATAAGACCAACACACTTACTTCTCACTTACTGTCTTGTCATCTGACATTTTGCATTTACTACAACAGTAAAAAATTTACTGTCCAACTATTTTCTGCATTAACGACCCCCGACCCCGCCGACCCACACAACCTTGCTGTGCACAGCTCCTCCAGGGCACATGGAGGAGGAGTGGTGCCGCCGGGGGGTATTTAACCCCAGCCAGGAACCTGCGGGGCACCAACGCTCTGGCGACTCCGGGCTGATACCTCCTCTCCCTTCTCCTGGCTCTCTCCTGACGCACCCTACCCTCCACCCCACGGTCATCTGGCATGCAGGCACCAGTCAGTGGGCGCTGGGAGCAGAGGGCTCGCTGGGGGCGGCGCTCACTTCTGTGGAGCCGCCTCCTGGCCAAGGCTGCTGTGCACTGCCCAGCCCGTGCCACCCCGCTTCCCACGCTGAGTGCACCTTGGAATAACCCAAGCTGGGATGCCAAGTGCCTGAGGACTCCCAGCCAGCAGCCTGCAGCATGGATTCAAATTCTGGCAAGCAGAGTGAGGGCGAGCCCGTGACGCCTCAGGTACGGAGGGGTTGCTGCCGCCCAGCTGGGAGGGCTGAGGCCAAGGAGGTGGGGAGGCCGGGGGAGGAAATCACGAGTATTTCACATAGCACCAACTTTTGCATAACGATCCGGTCTCTGGAACCTAACCATGTCGATAAATGAGGAGTGGGTGCATACAAAAATCAATTGTGTGGAATACTACTCAGCCACTAGGAGAAATGAAGTCTTGGCACACGCTACAGTATGGATGGAGCTTGAAGACATTATGCTGAATGAAGTAAGCCAATCACAAAAGGACAAATACTGTATGACCTCACACAAAAAGACAAGAAAAGACAAATGTACAGAGACCAAAATTCATTAGTAGTTACCAGGGGCAGGAGGGAGGAGGGTAAAGGGAGGTTAATGGTGATAGAAAAATCTCATTGATTAAGGGTATGGTTGCACAGCTGACTACTCTAAGTGCTGTCAATAAATTGTACACTTATATATGGGATCAAATTGACAAGAGTAACTCAAAAGATTAGATAGGAACCTTAGAGGGCAGTGAATTCATGTTAATGAGGGAGGAACAACTCAGAAAAAAAGGGTGAGAATGGTTGCACAACTCGAAGAATGTAATCAATGTCACTAAATGGTACATGTAGAAAACTGTTGAATTGGTGTTTTGCTGTGTATATTCTCCACAATGAAATAAAAAAATTTAGAAAAAAGAAATATGTTTAGAATACCAAAAATTTTTTTTTTCTATAC